TAGTGGGTGCATTTACACCTGCCATTAAAGCACTGTGATAAACTCTGGCACAGTTTGCACTAGAGTTTATCGTGGTACATGTAGATGCTCAAACTGCTGCAGTCCAGGGCATACATGCAGACACTGCACCTGGGACCGGAGCAGTTTGAGCCAAGGTGGAGCAGCCCCAGGCTGGTGAGTGGCCTGGGGGGGTCAGCCCTGGGCTCTGGGAGGCAGTATCAGGCAGTGGAGGGGCTGGCCGGGACTAGGCATCAAACGGGGGGTCTGGCTCCCTGCTGCCTGGGATGACTGGGTTAATGTATTCCTGGGTCAGTATTTACAGACGTGTTCAAGCGCAGTTGTTTTTGCCACAGTACTGTCCCCAACTATCTTATGGCAGCAAAAATTAGTTTGTTGTGGTGTAATAGTGTCACATGTATAGACTGTGATGCTTTACACCACTGCAAATTAGTCTACTGTGCATTTAAGTGCACATAGAGATGCACCCAGTGTAAAGTGTAACAAGACCCTCAGTGATTGCCATCACTGCCTTACACTGGTATTCTCTTGTAAGCACTAAATCTCTAGGGCAAGATGCTGATTCCCTAATAGTACCTAATTCCATAAATTCTCTTGACTTCCGGACATTACTTATTATGAATAAGGGCAGAGGCCTAACTGAGTGCATACGTACCCTGGGTGGCAGTTGTGCAACGGGCAGCATCAGTGGCTTTGCTTTGGACAGCGATGGCTTGGCTGGAAGCACAGCAGCTGCTATTTTAGGCTGCTTCTCCTACTCTGTTGGCACCCAAGTGTAGTGCGCCAGTCACTCCCCTCTTCACTGTACTACTGAATAAAGCTGTGGCACCTGCCCCCTACACTGTCATCTTCTATGCTGATGAAGTGTCTCTTCCCCTTGCTCCTGTTTGTATGCTGTGAAATCGAGCTCAGATATGTCTTCTTCTGAATTGCGAATTCCTTTAAGTAACACTGGTAAAAATTCAAAGCAACTCTATTTAACCAATAGAGTGATTCCAAAATTGGTCTCAAGGAGCTGAGGGCAGAATCTGACCCATGTTTCTTCCAGCATTGAACGTCCATCAGCTTAATTGATTAGCTGCATGTGGAAAATTCATTATTTCCGCTAATGATTTCCGATGTGACCTAGCAACAGACCACAGCCACAATAACTGGTGATGACAGTACCCCATTAATGTTGGGAATAAAATTAACTTGCATCACCAGGGAGTAGATTAACACTCAGGATGGATGAATCTGTGAACTCCTTGATGCTATGCTTGAAACTAGAATAGAACTTAATTAGTGCTTTAAAGAAGTTTGGTCCACGCGCTTAATTAAATTAATTTACGTAGTTTTAGGAACTCTTTTGCACTGCCAGGTTCTGTCCTGAAGTCCTAAAATGCCAGACAGGAGGCTTTTTCTCATATTCCTGGACCACAGACGATGAAGAACAAAAAATGAATGCGAGTGGGATCAAATCTGGGCGAAACCCTTATAAATTCAGACTAATTTCCAATTAAAAGAAGGAAAGAAATTGTTCCTACGCTCTTTCCAGCATAGGTTTGCAAACTTGATATAGTTGTTGGATAAGCAGCCATTTTCTGAGCCGACTACCCTTCACAAAAACTGAAAGGTGCTTGTCCACATTATCCGCTTTTTCTAGCTAAAGGTATTCCCTAGGGTTTCTTGCTCCTCTTCTGGTCCCACTGTGCTACAGGGCTAGGTAATAAGGGAGGAGCCTGACTCTGCAGCTGAATCTCCTTAAGATATTGGATGGAGATTTGGCTGAGGGCTTCAGGATTATTTGCAACTGTAGCAGATTTGGGTCTCAAATTCCAGTTGTAGGGCTGAGTTTTGTTTACCCTTTCATGACTCTACCCTCTTAGACAATACTACCTGGGTGAGGAAGCAGAACAGGGTTTAGGTCAATACAGTGTTGGCTTTCAGGAACAAAATACTGGTTCTGATGGGAAATCTCATAGAGAGAGAAAAGTGATGCTGAAAGGAGGTGATTGACTCTTTAACTATGGTTCCAATCTGAGTCTTTTCTCAGAAGTATTCTCATTGGGCTGGATCAAAAGTCCACGAGAGTCCTTCCATGAACTTTGGTGAGTGCCAGATCAGACTGAAGGTAATTAGCCCCTGTAACTCCCAGTAGCTTCAGTGTGAATGCAGGTGCTCATTACTGCCTGGGCCTGCTGACTCATAGGGGATTATTTTCAGACAAAAGTTCCTTTTGAGTCATAAAGCCTCGACTATTGCCATCGCTTGTATTTTTACAGTGGCAGAATGTGGTCAATCCACTGCAAGCACCAATGCAAGTCCCTGCAGCATTAGAAGGCAAAATAACTGCAGTTGTGAAACAAATATGGCCCTTCAGAAAAACCAAGCAGTAGGAACAGCCTACACTTCTCTTATCTAAATGTTTGTTCTCCCAGTCTGAACATTTTAATCTGTGAGGTCTCTGTATTTGGTCGTGTCCTCCTATTAGGCTCTAAATCTGAAATAACTTTAACCTTGTGTTATTTTGTCAGTTAAAATATAACGAGTGTTTCACCAACTAAATCTCCTCCTGTTCAAGTTGTTGAGAAGGTATTTATGCCAGATGTCAAAAAATCACTGGGGAAACCATTCATTGGCTGTATGCAGTTTAGGATGGGAGTGCAACTGCTTCCTTACTTTGCTTGCTAGAACATTAATAAGACATTTGCATCTGATCGGTTTATTCAGGCTGGATGAAAATATGGTAATTCTCAAATATGGGAATTATCTGCCTAAAAACTGCTTTTTTACCTTCTTGCACAAAAGTCACTTCTGATTTAACCCAGTCTGCACAATGCATTTTTTATTGTGAGTATTGAAAGCACATTCAAACTGCACAGCGAGTATGTTAGATTAATGCATACGTGACTTTTTAGTTAACACGGCTATTAAAACAGGGAAGCTTAAACATTTTTTTGCCAATTATTCAATGGCCCTTTTTAGTAGTAAGATCACAGCATTTCTTTCCTGGAGAACAGTGATATTAGTAATGTACCCTAAACGAGATGTGGTGACAAAGACTTCACTGGAGGAAAAAAGCAAAGGGTTTATAAAACATTAGCATTTCAGAAGTCCCCTCAAATCACTGAGGTTTAAGTTTGCAGTCATTTCTCATTTGGTTTCTATTGCATAAAATTCTGAAACTGGAATTTGCTTGCAAATAATTAATGTTCAGTCCACTGGAAAACAAATCTGTTTCTGCTTGTTTTAAGCAAGGGCATCTAGCTATATTAATAAGTTACTGTAAAGCAAGCTAAGGTATGAATCTATAGCATGCTTTCTACTTCCATGACTGCTAGTAAATATGCTCTTATCTTGCAGCATATATGAGGTATCTTACCCTGTTTTCAACGACCGTGCATTTACTGCTGGGTAGCTAATGTGCTCTCAGTTCATATTCTCCTGTTCTTCAAGGTAATTTGTTTTCATAGGCATGTCTGGGACCTGATGACCTGTTCCTAAAGGTTCATAATTAATTTGGATTTGATTCGGCATTTCACCCACAACTTCCACTGAACCTACTAAGGAAATACTCAGAGCAACCAACTCTTGTTGCCCGCTCCTGCCTTTCTTTGGTTTCAATGGGAATTTGGCCTGAGTAGAATTTGAGTGAAGACTCGGCAGTCAGCTTACTGGCTTTAGTGAGACCCTCACGTGAATAAACCCTATAAAATCTGACCCTATTCTCTAATTCCATATATCACAGTTAAAATGCTCATTTAAAATAAGTTCTGCCCAGGGATTAATAGGTGAGAAACAATACATAGGAACCACTGCACTCTCCTTTTTTCCACCTGCTTTTATTTTATTTTTGTTCATGCTGATCCTGTCCTTAATCCCTCATCCTTAGCTTCATGCTAAACAACACACTCTGCCGTTTGCTGTACAGCTTTGGACAAAAAGGGAGAAATATGCCTTTTACTTTCTCTTTCTCTCTCTCTTTTAAACCTAAGGTCTTTTGACAACAAGGCTGTCTTGCTGAGTCTCCTTTAAATGGTAAAGTTTTTTTCCTCTCTTCCTTCACCTGTGACTCCAGAGGGGATGGCAAACATTCCTTTGTTCCATTTTTTCAATGTCGATCTTTTCAAGATTTCCTAGATTTCTGGTGGGAGTTCGTTTCATTATATGGATGTTTCTGTTGGGCCTGACATCAAACATAGCATGCCTTTTGAAAACCTGAGTTCAAGCTTAATTTTTTTTCCCCTTACTTCTACTTTGAAATAATCTCGTGGCAAGGTTGCAAGCCGATTTTGGTAAGCAGAAAGAATTCAACTTGGAAAGATTTACTGAAAGGTGCTAAAATATGTGTGTGTATGCGTGTGTGTGCATGCACACTCACATGCATACATAATGCATCTCACATTGTTTGTCAGCCACTGGTGCAAGTGTAACAGGATCCTGCGTACAGCAAGGTTTTTGAGCCGTACAGTTTTCCTCAAATCCACACTTCTGAGGGTGGAATGGAAAGCTGCTAGTTAATTCATAATTGACTAGTCCTCTTTCAGCACGTTAATCCAAACTTTGTTCTACAGATTGTGAACAGTTCTTATTACAAAATAATAAGGTGCAGTGAAAGAAAAGTGTGTGAGCTCTGGCCTCCTTTCTTTTTATACCAGGACAGCCAGAAAACCAGTGGATCCAGATTTCTGGGAATTTTTCTTGCGCAGAGAAATGGATGGTGGCAGAAAGCCCCCTCCCCCAGGACACAGAGGTGTTCTTGGGGGAAAACAGCACCAGCTGCCCCAATTATCCTGGGGACTATGGGCAGCAGGCCTAAATGAGAGCAGTCCAAAATTAGAACCCCGTTGTTGCTAAATACAGCGCAACTGGTCAAATTACTGGGTTTTGCTGGTTTTGAAAACTACTCCCCTTAATGGACTTTGCATCCCAGGTACATGCTTCTCAGGTACATACAGTCCTCCTTTTCCTAAGTCCTACTTTTTCCCCCACTTCTTTAGGTCAATATTGGCATTCTCATTGCGGTCACAAGAGTCATCTCAAGAATCAGTGCAGACAACTATAAGGTGCATGGAGATGCCAATGCATTCAAGTAAGTCTCTTTCTCATTCAAATTGCTCTGCAGCAAGTTAATTGCTTAGAACTAACTGTGCTCTATCACAGGCATATATTACAGGCTCCTCTTTGTACTGGTAAAATGACCCTGTAGAAGAAAAACTCGGTTACGGTCAGCAAGTTTGTCTTCCCCATCTTTAATGTAGCCACTGAACATCTATGTTATTATGGAAGAGGGAAGCTGAGTTGAGATTAACTTCTTTTTCAGAAGGATTAAATTATTTTCTAGCCATCCTCTAAGAATCCCCCGTCACCTGCTGACTCATGATTTTGTTTTCTATTAAAGCCTTGTTTTATTTCCTCTTGAGAATAGCTACAAAATACTATCATTAGTTTATACTACAGTACTGCAGCACACCCTCTTTCAAAGGGTACCCATATTCAGCAAAGTATTTAAGCAAATACTTTTCTTTAAGCCATCTCTATTCACCAAAGCATGTAGGCCCACACAGAATTTCAACAAAGACGTAAGTCCCGTTTTTCTTTATCTAATAATACACTAACTAGGCTGGTAGCCTCTCAGATCCAAACATAGATTCATATATGAACATGAGACTAAACGCTAACTTCTAAAGCTTCTGGGGTTGTGCTGTTACATCTGAGAGCTTAAAATCACTTGTTGAATTGAGCTGGGACAAGGTATTTTGCAGTTTATGCAGACGTTCTTGTATCTCCTGCAGACGCTTTTAACCAAGTACAGAAAGGGCAGATTGAAAGGCTTAATGAGTATATTACTAGGGCACTTGAAAAATGTGTTGACAGCTTGTTTTTTATGTTCTGAGTCCTGATCCATGATATATTCAGGATTTGGTGCTGCTGTCCTGAAATTCTGACATGAAGAGTCATCTTTATGATTAAATCACTTGTGTAATTTCTGAAATGACAGCAGCTTTCCAATATCAGTAGCACTTACCTAATTAAAGTAAGTTTAGTTATTGTATATCTTTTCTGGAGCAAAAGGAAAAACAGTAAATATGTCTGCACAAAAAATCTATAAGATAATTATTCTGTAATGGATTCAAAACCCTGTGAATTACAATGGCTTGTGGTGCTGGTTTTGGCTGAGTCCCTGTGACCTTCAGAAACATGAACAAACTACCATAGTTTAGGAGACAAATGACCATATATGTCAATGCCAATGCTGTATTTTCTGTTAGTGTTATAAACAGCCTCTATAAATTAATACCAGCTACAGAGATATGCTGTGTAGATCTTTTGGTGACTGGTATTATAGAGAAAAATCATGATTCAGCTTGTGTACAGTGCAGGTGGTAAAACAGTGAAGTGCAAATGAATAATATTGTCCTTAATTTACATAACACCAGGAACAGAATCAGCATGCCTGAGACCTAGCCTGAAAATGTGTTTTTTGAATCACTAAATACAATGTAGTTTGATGTTGTAGGGTCTCTCTTGAGTTGTTCTCCTGCATCCTCAAATGTGGGGATCTGACCTAAATCTCCCTCTCAAAGAATTTCTACTGTAAATCGTATATCATTGGTGAAAGTCATTATTTAATTTTAATTCTAAAGTGCCTCATGGTGTCCTAGGTGCATGGTAGCCCAGAAAATGATATGAGCCTTGATAGGGACAGCTTCCAAACTTTATTATTACTACTGCAGTATAGTTAGTGCAGGAGCTCGAACATGACCCACTACAAAGGCATGACCAAAAGATGTTTCCTACCCCAAGGAGCTTATCATCGAATGTCAGACTTTCCTTAACAAGGAGGATAATAAAGCAATATGGAAATGTAGCAGGAGGATAGAAGGCAGTAGGATAATAATGTTGTTGTTCAGTGGAGGAGTGCATATAGCATGGTAGCACAACTTCACTTACAGCATTAAATATACATAAAACAGGTGTGTCATAGTTAGCTGATTTCCTGTGGGATCATTTGTAGAAGGATGCTTTCTTAGGGGAATTTGGGTGGCTTTCTGAGCTGGTTTTTGGAAGGCATTGAGATCCTGATTAGCAAAGAGTTTAGGCATGCTGTACTGCATCGGCGTTCCGTGCTTTAGAGGATGTCATGGAAAAAGTCACTGATGTGGTTGTCAGAAAAGAAGAAAAATGAATCGTCAAGCAGTGGCTTTAGCTGAATTTAGTTTTGCTCATTTGCAGTTAGTATTCAGTATGCAGTTAGTATTGTTTGCATACTTGGGGGAGGTTTGTATTTTTGGTGTTAAAGGGTAGAGATCACTCTTTTTATTTTGGAATTTTTTCCAAAAAGAAGAAAAGTAAACTGCACCAGAGTCCCCAGAGTTTTGCCAGCTGCATGAAAGACTCTTTTTTTTTTCAGTAAAAAGTGAAATAAGTGTTGCTAAATATCAGAGAATCTGGAATGTTGATTAAAGGCTGTTAAGCATGTTTAAGGGAATGAGCATAGCAAAAGTGAGACAATGACATAGAGCAAAGGGAAATCAAAGCAATTAGCTCTGTAGTTTCTGTGACACTTCTGTCACTAAGGACCACAAGGTAGTTTCTGAGTCACAAAAGTTCAGTTAATGTGGGAAGAGATCACTGAAGCCTGCAAAATGTTTCATGTAATACAGCCTTTAAAGGGCCTGTCAAGAATCCATCTGGATAGTACAATATATTTGACATGAGCTACAGTGGAAAGTGTAATAAGTTAGAAAGAATTCATCAACTGTATTTTTAAGAAACACAGCACGATTAAAATGGCATAACATGGTTTCGGTGAGACAAGAAAACACTTTGGATAAGATTTGAATAGGTTCACTAGGCACTGCTACTTAGGTATTGCTCTTTCTAACTTAGGCATGCCTGGGTCTATGAACATGATTCTTATAGCCATGATTAAGACCTAGGATTATGCACAGGTTTAGATGCCTCTGAATTTGGAGTTAGTCACCGTGGCTGTCTGTACAGTGAACAGGGAGAGTTGATCATCTCCAATGGATGACTCAGAAAAGCAGAAGGCACTTAGAGTTAGTCAATAGGAAACCCCAAGCACAGTGGTATCTGCATTTCTACCCCTCTCGGAAGTGTAGGTTCCCAACTTGGGATGCACTTGGGATCCAGAGTGTCGAGGCCCTCTTGTCAGAGCAGACACCTAACCAACTGGTGTTAGTCCCATTCACTTCAAATCTGAATGTAGGTCTTACATGTAGGCACCCAAACCTGACAAATCTACTTTACAGCTCTTATGAGAAAATCCAACTCTGTAGCTGCCAGGGTTGGCTACTGGAGGAAAACTTTCACTAGACTGAGAAATGTCGACCTCCTCATGAAAAGAAAGCTGATAAAAGTTCTGATATATATTGGTGTAAGCGAAAAAACCCAGTTGGCAAAAACATAATTAAATGAGAGTAATTATACTATGGGCACATTTTAGGCATACAGGGTTATACAGCACATTACATGAAGTAGGAGAGATTTCCCCTAAAATAAGAGACGGTGATCTTCCAAGGTACTCTCTTCTAAGTGCTCTCTGCTTCTCTTAAATACACTAGGAGTGGAAGAGACACTTAGCACTTGGGAAAATCAGACCCCAAATGGGTGCCAGGCACTTGACATACTTGGCAGAAGAAGGACACAGCATGATGACACCAGCTGAAAAGAATATGTGTTGGTAAAGAAGTGCTGGTTGTCCTAACACATTTAGGTTCCCTAAATATGAAGTTTCTTGGCAACGTAAGTGGATATTATCAACAATAACTTGTTTCTCCTGGCAACAGACAGCAATAAAATGATGTAATTATTTACAATAATTGTTCATGATTTTCCATATGGCAACGGATCCAGTCATCATGCTCACTCCAGTACAACTAGGGGACAGCATATGCCAATGTTTTGCTAGAAGTGCGGCATCTACTGAAACCATGCATTTTGCTAACTCCTCTTGACTATGAAATATCCTGCACTGTCCTTGTTCAGAAATCTGAGATTTGTTGTTTTGCACACCGAATTTGCTAAAAGCTTTATTTTTATCTGATAAGTCCTCAATATCATATATTCTAAACCGAAACTAGGAGAAACAGGAAGTTCCTGTCTCATGTTCAGAGTCCAGTTTTATTCTTAAAGGGAATCAGGTTCCTATTTTGTATAATTTGGGTTGAATATTACAGGCTGAGAGACTGTCTCAGTTGAGCTGTTGCCTGTCACTGTGAAGGGATCAGACAGAGCTTTAGCTTATCATTTATTCCAGTTTCAAAGACTGAAGTTTGTACCACAAAACAAACTTTATGAATGGAATAAAAATTCCCCCAAGTGAAACGATTGTATAAATTTGAAGAATGATCAAAGAGAAAAACTCACATATCTGTGGGATACAACAGTGTAGGATTCATAGATTATAGAGTCGGAAGGGACCCAATGGATTATTGTGTCCAACCCCCTGCCCCTGGCAGGAAAGGGGACCGAGGTCAGATGTCCCCAGCCAGGTGATTGTCAAGTCTCCTCTTGAAGACCTCCAGGTTAGGTGACAGCACCACCTCTCTTGGAAGCCCATTCCAGACTCTGGCCACCCTTATTGTAAAAATTTCTTCCTAATGTCTAACCTAAATCTACTCTCCACTAGTTTGCACCCATTATTTCTAGTTACTGCCTGGGGTGCTCTGGTAAACAGTACTTCCCCAATTCCCTGCTGTCCTCCTTTGATAAATTTATAGGCGGCCACAAGGTCACCCCTCAGTCGTCTTTTGTATAGGCTGAAGAGATCCAGATCGCTCAACCTCTCCTCGTACAGTCTTTCAAGGAGACTACTAATCATGCGGGTGGCCCTCCTCTGAACTCTTTCTAGATCCTTTTTAAGTGTGGTGCCCAAAACTGAACACAGTACTCCAACTGCGGCCTGACTAACGCTGCATAGAGAAGAAGCATCACTTCACTAGATCTGTTGGTTATGCATCTGCTAATACATGACAAGGTGCAATTGGCTTTGTTGATGGCCTCGTTGCACTGCTGGCTAATGTTCATCTTGGAGTCAGCTATGACTCCAAAATCTCTCTCAGCCTC